CTACACAACAAGCACAATAAATGACCTTAAAGTCTGTTAAAGTCTACAACTATTTTCTTTCCCTCATTATTTTTCATCAACCTAAACTGCGTGCTTACTTTTTCCGACTTTATTCGCCTGTTGCTTCTACGAGACTGCGAGACAGTTGATGTGATAAAAGTAATAACAATTTCCCTTTTCATTCAGCACATAAAAAAGAAAAGTTCATGAGTTTTTCACTCGTGAGAGAGGAATTGAGAGAAGTTTCGCTTTTTTTGAGAGTTAGGAACGTGAGTGAAACATGATATAGGGTTGGTGGTCGATGTTCTGGATAAAGCTTGTTGCATATACAATGAACTGACGTCTCATGAGAATTAAAAATTTTAAAATTGACATTGAAGTAACTTTATGGATATTTTTAAAAAGTATTAACACTAAATTTACATTTACTCTCATGGGATTCTCATACATTCATAGATACCAAAATAGCAATGCTTGATTAAAATCAGTACATTAAGAAGTCATTTAGTAAGCAAATGTTATTTTTACCTTCATGAATAATATTGTCTATTTTGTATCAATTAATTATGAGCAAATTGAGAGAATGCTTGAGTTCTTGGATGTCTTGTTCATACGAAAAAAATATATTCGATTTTCTTTTTCAATAATAAAAATCTTTGAAAATGTAAAAATGTTCAAAGAAAAGAAAACTCGACAAACCTTTAGGGTATGCAGACGTAAATAGCGAGTAATGATTTTTCAAAACCTTAAAAGTTTGATTTAAAAAAAATTGTGAAAAGAGTGAAATTAAATTAATTTAATTGAAGCTACTTCAATTTTGAGAAATCATTATTGGATGATATTTTTTAAATGGCACCTAGCCTTGCATTCAAATTAACTCCAACATCAAATTCTGCTTTAAAAGTTCCTATGGGGCCGTTCACTTATTACGTTACGCAAAAAAAACGACTTTTTTCACCCCCCCCTGAACGTTCATAATTTATTTTATCATTAAAAAGGTGAAAAATTTAAAAAAATGTTTTTGGTATGAATTTGTAAACAATATTTTTTCGTGAACTTTTTTTTAAGACAGACGACAGTTAGAACGTTACATACTTTCCCCCCCCCCCCCCCCTATGTTACATTTTGTTACAATTTTTCAAACCCCCCTCCCCTCTAAAATGCGAAAGTAATAAGTGAACGGCCCCTATCCCCTTCAATAGTTATTAGCCCCTTTTAAAGATACTAGCCCCTTTTGATTGAAACATTTTTCAATCGTCAAAAAATTTACATCATGTTATTTAAAATTACGTAGTCAAATTGCGTTTTATCATTTTTAAATCCTTTAAAATCTACAGCAAACCTTTAAAAACTGTCGTCATGTAAACAAATAATGAAAATTTCATGAGACAAGCCAAAGTTCTCCTTCAAGGAAAGAGAATTCGAGACAGATAATTTTAGATATGAATTGTTTTCCCATTTCAATTTGTATCCATCAAATCCTTTTTTTGGCCCTTTGAGAATTTTATTTTTGACTTTTGTGATGAAGTATATCAAGAGTTGTTTATCGAACATTATGATGTACATAAGAGAATTATGTTAGCAAGCATGACTTACAGAATAATATTAGGGGTTCCAGAATTCCCGTTCCCGTAAGATTTCGGGAATCGGGAACGGGAACGGGAATGATGTCCGGGAACGGGAATATTCCCGGGAATCAACAAAGAAAAAAAAATTAAAAGCTACACTTACATCATGTATTTTATTTAAGTTTTTAAATCAAATTTGAATTCTATTTGATTTGATTGTCAAATTGATTCTTTTGACAATAATTTCCGTTTAAAATTCAATTCTTTTTGGTTTTAGAACAATTCTTAAATACGATTTTAAAAACCTGATTGCATTAACGTGCTGTTCTAGCAATCTATAACTGTAAAATGCTTCCAAACCCAAGACATCCTAATTTATTGACTTCTGATAATCTACGAATATGTACATGATTAAATTACAACTTATGAACTGATTTTTTGATTACTTACATATTTAATATTAATTTCAAGCACATTTTTTATTTTGGAAAAATTACTTTAATCCAATTTCAATTAAGTTTATTATTTTGTGGACATCATACATTTAAAAAAATATTTTTAAATACTTTCATATTCACACAAAATTTTCAATTTTTTCTCTTTGTTTTTCATAAATATATGTTTTTGATTTAAAAAACATCAAATTTGAGTTTAATATTTCAACTCTTAAATTCCTTAACGTATGTTTTCATTATTATTATAATTTTTTTCTTTAAATTGTAGTTTTTTCATGAAAGATACAACATAAAAAAAAAATCTAATTTGAATTGTCGGTTTTTTGGTATGAAAACGGGAATTTCGGGAATATTCCCGACAGATTTTCGGGAAACGGGAACGGGAACGGGATTCCCGTTCCCGGGAATTCCCGGGAATATTCCCGATTTTGGAACCCCTACAGAATATGGATATAATCTCGTCAAGGTAATTGAATGTAAACATTAATTCCTCATCGGACAACTAAGTTAATTATTCAGCAGAAAATTGTTTCAAAAGATGTTGATTTCTTAAAATAACTTGCTGCGTCTTAAGAAATTATTAAGAGCTTGGGGTTGTTCATTTGTGATGTCCAATATGATTTTTTGCTGTCTTTCGTCATGATATTTCTATTGTCTTTTAAAAATTGAAAGATTGTGAATTAAATTCAAGTGCAAAAATGCAGATTTTCGGTCGATTGTCACTTGCTCGATCTGCAAACATTGACTGCCGCTTGGTTCGAATTATACTTTCAACCCGGCCAACATTTTAATGAATTACAATGTTTGCCGATCGGGTTTGCTACAGATCCCTCGAAACTTAAGTTTTCTCTCTACTCTGACATCATTTGTGAACGACTAGCTACCATTTTTAACTTACTCAGCTATTATGGCTTCATTGTTTAAATTTTAATGACTATATTAATATTTTATTGTCGATAAAATCAACAGCACTAAAAGTTTTTTTTTATAGAATTTAACCAGTTGCTTGACTTTTAAAGATTCTTCCATCGAAAAGACTCTTGAGGAAACCCTTTTCAATTAATTTTCTCTGTTCTTTTGGTGATGTTATGATAACCTAATTAAGCAACATAAAATTTATTTAAAAATTGTTTTGTGAACATCCAACTGAGCAGCTTTTGTAAGCCACAAAATTGAATCAGTAAAAAAAGTTAATGAAATTTTTATTAAACTCATTCATTTAGAGAAAAAAAATAAAGCTTCAAGGCCATCGTGCTCCAGTTTTACCCTTAAACTCCCACTAGAATTATGTTAAAGCTAAATAAGCATTTAAGCTTCTACTCGTGCTGTTATTTCATTTTATCTCTTGAATGGGGTTAATACTTTATGAATGAAGTGTTAATTAATGATATAAGAAGCTAGTTAAAGAAGATTTTCGGTGGTTGTTTGTTGCCATGTGCTTTATTCCACCTGTAAAGAATACTAAATGAATTTTAATTGCTGTTTCGATAGCCACTTATCGATTACTATGAACTGATGATTTATTCATTTAATTACTACGCAGTTAAGCTTTTTCATGTGCTGAATATTCTGAGCTGTATCTATTGCTAAGCAAATTGTTCTTTACGCACTTAATTTTGTTTCCTTATGAATATTTACTTTAGATTGTCATGCAGTGTTGATTAGTCGAATGGATAATAATTGTTGGAGCCGAAAGATCATATTTGGATATAGACACAAATGCTGTAGGTGAATTAATCAGGTCACTGCAATAAAGTATCAAATTCAGTTCCTTTAAAGTTAAAGTAAAAATATTTTAAGATTATTTTTTTAAATTCAATTTGAGGATATCAGACCAAAACTTTTTTAAATTAAGTGTGTCATACAGTTCCGATCAAATTGTGGATCCATTAAAATATCTGTGCCATTGAAGGATATAGACATATAGAGGTGAATTAAATTTTCATGTTCTCATTCAATCAATTACAGAGCATGTCAAAGAAGATGTACAATATGAAATATATCAATTTCCCCAGATAAATATCAGCAAAAAACTGGTAAATTCTCGGAAATTAAATGATGAAATATTCAAAAGAAAAATCTATTAAGTATCTGGGGTTGAAAATGTATTCATAGCTTGAATTATTTATGAAATCTTAAATGAATGAAAATTCTCCATCTGAAAGGGGAATTCGAGGAAGTGTTTTTCCTAAATTTGCTTTATTTTAGTAAATTATCTGAAAAGGACACAAATCAAGACATTAAAGCTGAAGGAAATCTTAAATTTTTTTTCTTAGATTTAAGTTTAAATTGTTGCTAATGGTTATTTTTGATCTTTGCATTCATTTCTATCATTATTGGAATTCATTGACCTACATTGAAAACAATTCAGTAGTTCCTTCTATACAATATTACCTAACTTCAAAATATCGTCTAATTCCAATTTTCCTATTTTAATTATATAAAACCAGTAACTTGAAATGATCTGATAATTAATATCAATTAAATTAACATATAAAATGACGGCAGATCATCAAAAATATCTCATTTCACTCCGCAAAATAAGAAGACATTAATGGAGTTCATAAAAAAGAAAGAAGAGAACTGATGGTGATCATCTTTCACAACATACAACCAAAGAAATAATAACAATAAAATGAAATTGTTTTTTATTACAGCAGATGATCGTTACAGAAGAGAATGAAAGAAATTATGGGCGGGTCTTAAAAAGTCAAGCTTAACCAATCACAGCGATTTAAAATTTCAAAATTTTCATCTCATCTGTGCGATGATCGCTGACGTGATCTATTTTCTTTTAGTATTTGTTGAACACTTGCTTGCGAAAGTCAGATTAAAAATTGTCAAAATAATTAATAAGCATAGAACTACCGTCGTGAAAACAAGACTTGTAAATTAATTGAAAAACTAATTGAATGGTTCATAAATTTGTGTAAATTATTAATTGGAAAATTTAATTAATTGTTGTCTGTGAGTGAACCAAATTGATAAATTGTTGGAAGCAAATCAGTGATTCAATTAAGAGAAACACAAATTGTGGCTAATTTAATTATAAATTTAACCACACACGGGAATAAAGTCAGTGAAAAATGTTAAATTTGAATACAGGCAATGATTATTCAGTGCCATTTCCACATCATCATCATGTCACGTCGAATGATCAGCAATTTTATCATAATTTATACACAAATGTTAATGTAGCCACGGCAGTTAATGGCAAGGATAAAAATGAATTAATTTATAAGAATCAGAAAATCGATTTTATGAACAACAATAATAATAATAGCAGCAATAATAATAACAATGAACCATTCACAACACTTAAGGACGGGGAAAATTCTAAAAGATTTTCTGTCAACAATTTATTAAAACCTCCAATATCGCCATCGGAAAAATATAATGGTTAGTATTGTGCATTTAAATTAATGAAAAAAAACCATAAGCACAGCTTTGGGCATCAGCGATTCGTTTTATACTTCTTTTCCAATTCACTTGAAATGCTGTGTATCTGTACGCAGACAGTTCTCATTACATTCTCATTCAATTTGACAGTAAAAATGATGATATCATTGTTGCCTCACTGCTCACTTTGAGAATTCATTTTTTTGTGTGATTTCATTTTTCAAAAAGTTTTACTTAATTTTGGAGATGTGAAAAAAGTTTTATTAATTTGTGAAGATTTTTTAAAGCATCGACTGACTGTAAAGATAAGAAATTTGCAAGGAACACTCTTAAGGTACCATTCACTTATGACGTTTAGGGTGGGGTGGGGGGTTAGGATTTTGTGACGGCTCAAACAAAGGACATTTTTTTCCATAGAAATTATGTGACATAGAAGGGAAGGGGACTAGAGATCATATTTTTTGATGGATGCCGTAAATGAAAGGCCTCTTAAAGAGGGTAGAAAATTTTCTTTCAAATATTTTAAACATCCCTGATCCTAGAAAGTAGTTTTAATAAGCAATTTCATGTCAGTAATTTCTTCAAATTTGATATTAAAAACCATAATCTATTGCTGTAAGTTATATTTTAACGAATGAAGGTTTGCTAGACTGATATGTAGCTTAAATAGGATCCAAACCTCTTCTCTGTTATCAAGTTGTAGATCTCCCTATAACGGCTATTTGTGTGTACTAATGTAAAACAAGTCGGGTTCGATGGGAATCTAACCCAAGACCTCAAAAGAGGAGATCTCTGACCACTCGATCAGAGAACCCTGCCACTTGTCCACCGAGGTACTTATTAATTTTTAATCAGGACCTTTTTGGAACAAATAGCAATTTAATCAATTTGAGCTTTAACTTTTTTAAATGTCCATTTTCCGAGAACCACTCAACTACGTCAATCACAAAAAATATGAAACAGAACTTTTAATTGCGATTTTGCATCACTAAAATCAGCAAAACGAAATTTTAATTTAGCACTGAACAATTTAAATGAACCATTTTCATAAATCATCAAGCATCTCCTATCAAAAATCCAATTTCACGAAAAGCTTCTGTAAAAAAAAATAAAATTTCATGCAGGTACTGAATTTTCAGAACAAGACCAATAAATAACCAAAACTACATAAAAATCTGCTTCAATTATTTCCCTCAAATTTCAACCTACTATAGAACAGTGAGACATCCACAGAACAGAAAATTTATGATGCACAATCGATTCATAAAAAAAAAGACAAAACCCCTTTAATCTATTTTTATATCCACTTCTTATTTTTTTGTGTGTCTGTGACAATCATTTTCCTATGGTGCATGTTTTTTATGGTTTAATTAATTAAAAAGTCATCAGTTAAATGTAACACAAAGATAAAAAACGATCGACGCATTGCCGGTGGTAGAAGAATTTGTTGAGTTATGTAGCGCATGTGTCCCGTACATGTTGTGCTGTTCCGTTTTGTGGCAACATTTAAAAGACAACGACAAGTTTTATGAATTGATGAAGGGCGAGAAATAACAATAAATAAGCAAGTGCATGTTACAGGATGTATGATTCAGGATGACTTCTTATGCTGTATGCTTTTAAAAACAGTAAATGATATTCCATATGGATTCATATTCCATTCTGTAAACTGATACAGCATTTTTATCTTTATTTAATTTAGTCAGGAATAAAAGAGTTGACATTCATTCATTTATGTCTCGCATGATGCATGACGCCGAGCTGTCAGTCAAAGGAGGATCGTCTTTTGACATAAAGTCTCAACGCATGAATTAAGTGGAATTTGTGTCAAAAATTTATGAAATGTTTTTTCCTGCCTTTTTGCGGTCTCTTTTCTTTCATATTTTAGATTTTTTTTCTTGTGCCACACACAAATTTGAGAAGGAATGAGAATAAATCATTTTCTCGCAATATGTGCTAATATTTTCTTTTAATTGCTTACTTTTATGAGTTGGAAATTATTGAGCTAATGCTGTGTAACATTCCTTATGATTTTCTTAAAAACTGGTTTTATTGTTTCTTTGGCCTGGATTGATTTTAAGGAGGTTTACATCGTTAAATTAGCTTTTTTCACCGTTAGTTCTCAGAAAGATCTTAATTTGTTTTTGGTTTAGGAAAATAACAAGCCGATTTGCAATAAATGATTTATTGCCGATCAATTGTTCCTGTTGATCTAATATCATTAGGCACATTGTTTTAATTCACAAATATGATCACTAAGAGGAAGCAGGGATTTTTAAAAAGTGGCATTTTCTACTCGGTTGATAAAAATCCATTGATTTTTTGCTTCCTTTAAGTCGTAACCTCAAAACAAATGCTTCCATATTTTCATTCTTGTTGTGCTATTCAAAATAACATCATTGTAGTTGGAAACATTCTATAAAGCAACATGAAGGATGTCCTTTTTTGAATCACGTTTCATATTCACATTTATAATCCAGATTTTTAAACATTCCAATGAAATTATCAGAAACTCATAGCTCGACGTCAACAAATTTGATTTGAATAGAAAAATTCATCATTTTATTGTTTCATGGATAGATAGGATGAATATTGGACCGAAATAGAAATTCTGGATTTTAATAAAAGGCATGATAAGCGCAGCTTGTTGAAAAAATCTATAAATACTAAAACAATTTTGATTTTCAGAATATATTCGAAATATTTGTCGAAGTTAAATGAAGGTTGCTAGTAGCTTGCCAAATGAAGCCTTTAACCAACCAGGGTAGATTATAGCAGATTTTCAGTTTAATCCATCTACCATAAATAGTAGAGGTCGAAGCCGACATGAGTTCGCTCCGGTTCGCTAAAAAACCGATTCAAAATTGAATAGAATTTTTTTTGCTGCCACTTGTGAAGTATAACATTCTATACACATTTACCGGTTATCGAATCGGTTTTTTAGCGAACCGGAGCGAACTCATGTCGGCTTCGACCTCTGATAAATACTTACACAAGCTATTTTTTGCCCCTCAATCCAAACATAATCTTGCTGGAACAAAAACACATTCAAGCTGATTTTTAATGAATGTGAAAATTGCATCTCAATTACATGCGAAAATGTAGAAAAGCAAGACTCATTTGCTTTACATTATCCACATGAGAGAACATACTGCAAATGCACAAATTAGAATGAGATCTCATTCATTTCAATGCATGCAGCATACAAAAGGAAAAGAATTCTTGGAATGAAATAGAAGCACAAAAGATCACAGAGAAGACTTTGCGAATGCTTGTTTACATCCATCATGCTATGCGTACAAATTATGATGACAAAATCTCTCAGATTGAAATTAATTAATTCAAAATGTTTGTCACTATTATTATGAACAGCAGTCAGTCGTTTGCTTCTCATCTCTGTGTCTTTGCATGACTAGATGTAAAAATAAAAGAAAAAAAAATCTTTTTGATGACAACTTTTTGTCATAAAAATGTGAAAGGGTTCTCCTCGTCTCTGAAGTCATAAATATTCTTAAAAGATTCCAAAAATATTTCATTAATTTTCGCTTTGATGATGATGGATATCATAAATTAATTCTTGATGTTGGAAAGTAATTTTCAATGACGATAATGTGCTTAATAGTTAAAATTCCCATCCGATGAGCTCAAATTTCAAAAAAATTATTGCAGCATACCGTAAGTAACTCAGTTGTAAAAAGAAGTAGTGAGTGAATTTTCACGGAACATGACTATTAAAACTTTTTACCATAAAGTGTGTGAGCATTAATAGCTGTTAATTGTTTTAAGGATGGGAATTGTAAAGTGATCATCACATTTGAAGAAAAATCATTTTTAACGACTGCATTAAAAATAAATATTCATGGAAATACTTTCCTCGTTTTATTTTCAGCTGACTCTTCATTGCCGATCAGCCTACCAGATCTTATGCATGATACTGTTGATACATCATCGGGCAAAAAGCCAAGACGAAATCGCACAACGTTCACATCATTGCAACTTACGGCACTTGAGAAGATTTTCGAGAGGACACATTATCCAGGTACAGTAACTTAGTTTGATCTTCATATCGCCAAAATTATTAATAATTCTCATTCCTAAATCTAGATGCATTCGTGAGAGAAGAATTAGCACAAAAAGTTGGTCTAACAGAATCAAGAGTTCAAGTTTGGTTCCAAAATCGACGAGCAAAATTCCGACGGAACGAACGATCAGTCTCAAGTAGTCGAGGACCAGCTGCAAATCCATCAACGCCAACAACAATAACATCAACACCACAAAAGCCTTTAGTCACACATGAAAAGCCTTTACATCAATTTGAATTCCCACCACCATACTCACTGAGTTTTGGTTCCTTGGGAATGTTTCAATCAGCACCAGCATCAACAAATGCGATAAAAAGCACCGACTTGAATTATGGCAACACATTCAATCCATACACACAATATCAACAGAATTATAATAATTATTGTGCGAGTAATTTTCGATATAAATCACCTTATTAAATGTTTTTAAAAACTTAATTAAGCTGTTTGGTTAATTGTATAATAATAAATTAATAAAGTGAAAAATTCTAAAAATGAAAAGTTGAAATTTGTTTTTTTCATTTTCATGAATCATAAAAATTATTTCAGGAAGCAAAGAGTATGAAAGATTAGAAGTAAGGATAGCATCTGAGTATAGTGTGTGGAGCGCATAATTTAAAGATATTGTAGATTTTTGAATAACAAGACATTTTTAAGATTATTAATTATATTCAAACCGTTTTCACGTGTGAATCTATTGGTTTTGTTCAGATTGAAAAATCAGTTTTTTTGAATTTTGTGAGGATATGGAGCAAGATAGCTTAAAATGTTCAGAGATGAAAAGTTTGTGCCTTGAATTTCACATATTTTGCAAAAAACAGATTTCAAATTGGTTGCGGCATTGCTGAGAAAATCGATAATGCTTTCTGTAAGCAAGCAAACAAGCAAACAAGCAAACAAGCAAGTTAATCAGTAAGAAATCTCAATAACGAGACATTGTAGAGACTTCTAGTTTTTTACATTTGATCCGTGCTGCTCTATAGAAGAGCTGTATTGTTTTTGGGCAAGGTAGGAACAGTTGTTGCTTCAGAAAAAGCAAAAAACTTTCCTTTCTTACGAATTTTTCAAATTAAAAGTTTACTGTGATTTTTTTTAAATTAAACTTTGGATGAAAAAAATTTTTTTGAGCAAAGAACCAAGTAGGAAATACATTTTCAATTTTGAACTAGGGGCGACCCTAGTCAAAACCAATTTTGTCACTTTTTTCTTTGAGGGTTTATCCAAATGGATTGAAACTTTGCACAAATATTCTAGTGCTTAAAGCAAATACAAATAAAACATCCTAAATTTTTTTGAGCAAAGAACCAAGAAGGAAATACATTTTCAATTTTGGACTAGGGGCGACCCTAGTCAAAATCAATTTTGTCACTTTTTTCTTTGAGGGTTTATCCAAATGAATTGAAACTTTGCATAAATATTCTAGTGCTTATAGCAAATACAAATAAAACATCCAACATTTTTTTGAGCAAAGAACCAAGTAGGAAATACATTTTCAATTTTGGACTAGGGGCAACCCTAGTCAAAATCAATTTTGTCACTTTTTTCTTTGAGGGTTTATCCAAATGAATTGAAACTTTGCATAAATATTCTAGTGCTTATAGCAAATACAAATAAAACATCCAACATTTTTTTGAGCAAAGAACCAAGTAGGAAATACATTTTCAATTTTGGACTAGGGGCAACCCTAGTCAAAATCAATTTTGTCACTTTTTTCTTTGAGGGTTTATCCAAATGAATTGAAACTTTGCATAAATATTCTAGTGCTTATAGCAAATACAAATAAAACATCCAACATTTTTTTGAGCAAAGAACCAAGTAGGAAATACATTTTCAATTTTGGACTAGGGGCAACCCTAGTCAAAATCAATTTTGTCACTTTTTTCTTTGAGGGTTTATCCAAATGGATTGAAAGTTTGCATAAATATTTTAGTGCTTAAAACAAATACAAATAAAACATCCTAACTTATTTTTGAGCAAAGAACCAAGTAGGAAATACATTTTCAATTTTGGACTAGGGGCGACCCTAGTCAAAATCAATTTTGTCACTTTTTTCTTTGAGGGTTTATCCAAATGAATTGAAACTTTGCATAAATATTCTAGTGCTTATAGCAAATACAAATAAAACATCCAACATTTTTTTGAGCAAAGAACCAAGTAGGAAATACATTTTCAATTTTGGACTAGGGGCAACCCTAGTCAAAATCAATTTTGTCACTTTTTTCTTTGAGGGTTTATCCAAATGGATTGAAAGTTTGCATAAATATTTTAGTGCTTAAAACAAATACAAATAAAACATCCTAAAATTTTTTGAGCAAAGAACCAAATAGAAAATACATTTTCAATTTTGGACTAGGGACGACTTTAGTCAAAATCAATTTTGTCACTTTTTTCTTCGAGGGTTTATCCAAATGGATTAAAACTTTGCATAAATATTTTGGTGCTTAAAACAAATACAAATAAAACATCTTAAAATTTTTTTGACCAAAGTACACGATAGAAAATCAATTTTCAATTTTGGACTAGGGGACAAAAATCAATTTTGTCACTTTTTTCTTCGAGGGTTTATCCAAATGGATTGAAACTTTGCATAAATATTCTAGTGCTTAAAACAAATACAAATAAAACATCCTAAAATTTTTTGAGCGAAGAACCAAGTAGGAAATACATTTTCAATTTTGGACTAGGGGACAAAAATCAATTTTGTCACTTTTTTCTTCGAGGGTTTATCCAAATGGATTGAAACTTTGCATAAATATTTAAGTGCTTAAAACAAATACAAATAAAACATTCTAAAAATTTTTTGAGCAAAGAACCAAGGAGGAAATACATTTATTTATTTAATTTAGGATTAATTACTTTTTAATAATATTTTAACATTTACGAGAAAATGTGGTTCAAATAAGTGTGAAGTATGGCTGAGATTTGGACCAAAATCAACTATACTGGTTCATAGTGTTCCCAAGGGTGACAAAATTCAAACTAAGTGTTTTTGTACCTGACTTCACGCCCACCCTTCAAACTTATACTGAGCAAATCTTGGTCTATCCATAAGACTTTTGATGGTACGGTGTGAATATATCCGCATTGGGTTTCTACCCGATACACTAGTTAATATTTTAAGTTTGTATGATGCGTAAGCACACAACCAAGGCGTATACACTCGGGATTAGTCCAAAGTTTCTGCTCTAATTAATGAAGATCAAATCAACCTTCCACTTACATACTTACTTCGATGACCTTACAGATCAATTGTGATCTATTGCCACAACATGGCCTTCCACAGATGCCGCCTAAAACTGGCTCTATTGCTGGCTACCGCTTGCCAATTTCCGATACCAAATGCAAAACTTTCTCTATCAACAGCCTCTTTCCATGAGTTCTTTGATCTTCCACGTGCTCTTTTTTCCATCCCTTTTCCCAACCTTCTAATCAAACCAATTATGTAGCCAAATTTCCTTTTTTTTCAGTTTAAAATTTTTAAATTCATCTCAAAAACAAATGTAATAGATTCAATAATTTCAAAGACAATCTGCATCCCAAACAAACACAGACCAATTTTTTTTCTATAGCTAAGCATCTGAAGTGAGTTTTAAAAATACACACGTGTTAATTTTACGATATGTTGTTGAAAGATTAGACAATATTATGCCATTATATTTGTATACAGTTCATAAACTATACTTATCCCGTTCTCTATCCGGATCATTAGACTTGTTTCTGGGTCATGTGGTAATTAAATATTATTTATTGGCTGTTTCATTTACATTCATTATGGTCAATCATCCAGAACCAAAGCAGAGAATTTTTGAGGATTCAAATTACAGAATGAGATTTTTGGGCTACTAATTTTTCCCGAATTATCGTATTGCTTAGTATTAATGCAACAGGAAGTGAGGAATAGAGATGAATTTTATTTTTCTGGTAGGTAGTTTAAAAACTAGGGGTTGACATTTTGCTGGTCTGGTTGACTGACTAAAGTTTAGTAAGTTTGTTCATTACTTGATTGATTCTCATTGAAGTGTAAGAGATCGGTAGTTTGGCTTAATAAAATGCTTAGAGAAGCTACTCGAATGGCACAAGTCGGTTAATCGATCAGAAATCCGGCACAAAGCTAGTGTGACTCTGGCATGGTGCTGGATTTAAATTGATGCCAGCACCACGCCAGAATCATGCCTGCTTGGTGCTGTATTTCTCTTCGATTAACTGACTTGTGCTATTCGGGCAAGTAGTAAACCAATTATGCCTGAATTCTCAAGATCAGATATTTAAAGTTTATGGCAAGATATATAGATGGGCTCATACAGAGTATACTTGACCATACTCGACCATACTATTTTTTGTGTACTTATACAAACAAAAATTTTTAAAATTTTCTATTTTCAAGTTTTCATTTAAATATCGACAGATGCAACAACATTTGACTTAAGTCAGTTACTTTAAATTATAGCAAAGCATTTGCAATACTCCTGTATCAACAAAACTTAACAGAAAGTTGAAAATTTTGCAAAACAAAAATTGAAAATTTTCTTTTATAGTGTTAGTGTTTTTAGAAAATTCAAATTTTTGACGTTTAAAAACTGCGATATTTTTGTATGAGCACATCTATATATCTTGGTTTATGGTACTCAAAGTATTTTCATGGATGACATTTCAATGTGTGGCTCTCACAGGTAGACAGAAATATGCACTTTAAGGAATAGTTATTTATAGATGCAACTGCAGTTGATCCTGACAAGTTTTAAACTGTCGATTGCTATTTTGGAATCTCAGGAGTTTGATCCTAATACCATAACCACTTTACATTCAAGCTACTCCAGTTCCTATAAAGAAAATTTACCAAGTTAAAATATTCAACGGATCTTGATCCACGAAATGCGCTCTAGTCCATTCCACATTCCCACAACAAAAAAACCAAAATTTACAGCCAGTCACTTTTATTTCAAAAAGTAAAAGTATTTTTTTTGTGACTCTTGTCATCGCCAATTACTTTTCAATTAATTTGATTTGTCAGATGCCTCTTTCATGTATGATCGTTAAAAGAAGTAGAAACATTTTCAGCATCTATAAATATTTTTCTTCTGTCGTACACGATTGGGCGTGACTATACACAGTGACTCTAAGTTATAATGTACACAAAATTTTCAGATGTTGCTGCTTAAAAACACAAAATAATTTCAACACACAAGACGAAAAATGTAAAGGCGAGGCAACAAAAACTTGTTGCCATCCACTAATTAATTAACTTTCGGTTTGTTTGGCGCAAGCAGCCGATTTATTTCAATTATATGTCACTGCAAATTTTTTTCCATTATTTTCAAGCTTTATTCTTGCTCCTCATATTATCCACTAATTTTTATTAAGTTAAAACTTAATTGTCATAATTTAATTTTCATTTTTTAATTTAAATTGAATTAAGGTTTTTTGTCAAGATTTGTTATGTCTGCAATATAATATGATAAATTTGAAAAAATATGAGATGGCGCTTAATTTGATTTCCTATAATTTAGAGTTAAATATTGTAACAAACTATTGAAGTGACGATGCTAAGTAGATGTGATTTAATTAAATTATTAAAGTACATGATTGTGGGTTGATGCTATTTTTATGAGCAGTAAATTGATGAACTTGATGATTTTGAAGTAATTATATATAATTATATATAAGTAACAATATTGTGTATTAAATTGCGGTTGATTATATCAAGAATTTATGGCGTAACTTGATGAAATTTGATTTATTTTAGGAATATTCAGTCAATTGATTACTGATGAAATAGCTTGCTATGCAGTAAGATACATGCTTTAAGGAATTCAATATTGATGAATTTAATGAGTTCTTTGAATATTGAAGTTAATATAAAAATGCATCATATGGAATTGAATAGAACAATCATATCATATAGGCTGGCAATCAATTTATAAATTCAAGAGCATTTTGTTACCCACACTCAAATAATTTTGCAATTAATATTCCTGGTTGAATCATTCATTCTCAAAACTTTTGCAACTTCTCGACTTGGTCATTCTGATCCAAATGTGCGCTTAATAATTGGTTCAGTGTGTCGCGCTCTACAAGGTTTGAGAACCACTGGATTATATGTCAACTAGAAATTGATTTTAATCAAATTAAAATTAGAAAATCACATGATTCTAAACTAGTCAAACTTCCACATGCTCACACTGTTTCAAACTAAAGCAAAACTACACAATAGTCACTAAATTAAGACATCTTTCATAATTAAAATCAACTTTTCGTACCACAAATATTCTCAAGACTACTCCAAAAAAATAAAAAAAGTGCAAAGATTATTAATGATGTGCATCGTACTTTAATTAAATAATTTTAATGAACTGCAAACATCTCAGATTATGATTCAAATACTTCTTGCTGTAGTGAGAAAGACAAGGAGAGTCATAAAGTATGGAAGGAAAATTAAGACATACGGTTTGTAAATTAAGACAAATTGCTTTTTAAATGAGACTAAATTGTTGAGCGCATGATGCTTACTGCTTGTTTTATTTTGTGGATGCACACAAAAAATAGAAATTTAATTTAATTACTTCCGATTCTCAAGGGTCTTTTTAAGGCTGTAAATTTACTGAGACGACATAATAGATGAGGTGAATGTTTTTCAAAGGTTTTGAATGATTTTGATTTTTAAGCATGCAAAAAAATTTAATTGAACTTGAATAATGGGGTCCGAAATTAACGGTCATTTTTCAAAAAAGAACAATGAATTTCCTGGAATTTCTATTGTTCTTTTCTTGCTGACCCCCCCCCCCCCCCCCTGGACGTCTTAAGTGAACGGTCTTAAGTGTCTAGTTTGTGTAAGAATATACTAGCTTATATATTACTACTAGTTTAATTTATACTAGCTTTACTGGTAAGCTAAGGCTATACTAGCTACCATATTAGCTATACTAGATACTTTTTTAACTATAGGAACTAGCTACTATATGATTGAATTTATTTTCATTATTTAATGAAGATCTTGCAGAGTGGTTCATGCTGCTATAAATTGTAGTTGTGTAGGGCTAATACTAAGGGGCTGTTCACTTATTACGTAACGCGAAAAAATGACTTTTTAGACCCCCCCCCTCGTAACAAAATTTGTATGAAAAAAAAATTTCCTTGTTTGAACCGTAACAAAATCTTAGACCCCCCTCCCCCCCTAAAAGCGTTACGTAATAAGTGAATGGCCCCTAATATAGACAACTCATGTTATTAAGTACAAAAAGAATCATTTAGCATAATTTCGAAATCAAAAATTTTTATGCTGACTGTGGTTTTCGAAAAACTATAGACATCTTTAACCATTATTTCACATAAAAATTATACAGTTCAACACTATTTTATCGTAAAACTGCGGTCAAGATTAATTTGTATAAATATCAGTTAATTTAATTAAATTAATTCAGTTTAAAATTAGTACTCAGTCAGTTCGTTTTAAAATAAAATTTATTTATGGATCAAGTGGAAATTTTAGAGACTCCAGTGAAATCGGAGGGTGATAAGAAGGAGTATCGACTCATAAAACTTAAAAATGGATTAAAGGCATTGCTCATGAAGACATATACAGATAGTGAAAATCAAGATGATAATCATGCTGCCGCATCTTTAATGGTCGAAGTTGGAAGTTTTGATGAGCCACGCGAGATTGGTGGACTTGCACATTTTTTGGAGCACATGATATTTATGGGGAATGACAAATATCCAGAAGAGAGTGGATTTAATGATTACGTAACAGCAAATGGTGGTCGTCGTAATGCAATGACCTCGGATGAATTTACATTGTATTATTTTGATACTTTTGAAGAGGCATTTCCCGAAGGTTTGTGACTTTTTGCCTGTAAATAATTTTGATCCTTGATAATTGCTTATTCTTACAGGTCTAGATAGATTTGCTCACATGTTCATTCATCCATTACTGTCTAAGAATGCAATGCAACGTGAACGAGAAGCAGTCGATTCCGAATATCAAATGGCATTGTCTGGAGAAGGTGCAAGAATCCTTGGAATGCTCAAGCTCATCATTTCCGATACACATCATGCCAGTCAATTTGATTTTGGAAATTTGAGGACTCTTAAGGATGAAATTACTGATGATGATCTCCATAGAGAACTTCTGAAATTCATGAAAAAATACACAGCCGAGAAAATAATTTTATGTATCCAATCAAAAAGAAATCTTGATGAGCAACAAGCCATGGTCGTTGAGAAATTCTCAGCAATAGCATCTGGAACGGAACCTGTCAAACCCACTCCAGAATTTAATTTCTACAAAATAACAAAGCCCGACTTTTATTCGAGAATTTTCCACGCAAAACCGCGTACAGGCAAGAAAGCCATTCTAATTACGTGGTTACTTCCACCACAAGTCGCGCACTATAAATGTAAACCATTAAATCATGTGGCAAAAATATTTGAGAATTCGGGTGAGGGTGGCATTGCTAGTTATTTAAAAGATAGAAATTTGGTTTTAAGCTTTACGCAACACAATGAATCGGAAGGTATTGGATATAATCGAGAATTTTGTATCACTCGACTTATCATTGAATTGACTGAATATGGATTTGAGAATATTGAAAAGATCTTGGAATCAATATTTTCATACTTATTGATGATTAAAAACACTCCAGTTGAAGAACATAGAAGATTATTTGAACAGGAGCAAAGATCAACGGAAGTAAGCTTCAAATTTCATCAAGAACAATCACCAATCTCAAATGTTAGGAACTATTGCACAAACTTCCTTCACCACAATGATATTGATGTATTGCGTACTGATTTATCCACAGAATTTAATGAGTTTGCTATCGAGAATGTTATCAATCACATGAATGAGATGCGGTTTAATATTTTGTTCCTCAATGACAAATACGATAATTATACAAAGAAAGAGAAATTTTTCGGAAGTGAATATGAAGACTTTGACTTCCCAGAGAGATATAAGATTTTGTGGCAAGAGAGGAAATTGAATGACGCATTTTATCTTCCAAAACCAAATCCATTTGAAGCTACAAACTTCCAAATTAGAATTAATGAAGAGGAATCACCGGTATGTAGATGATTTTTACTTAAACTGATAGAATGTCTTGGATTTGAATGTCTTTTTTCTTGCAGAAATATCCTGTAAAGATTTTGGACACACCAGCATTTGAAGTTTGGCACAAACTTGATAATAAGTTCAAGTTACCGAAAGTAGAGATTGAAATATCACTAATGGCGCCTAAGCATCTGAATTCTGAATATAAGTGAGTATATTTTTTGTCTAAGCAGTGATTGTAACATGAAGCAGCATACTTGTAAACTATGATTCACGACACATAACATTTATAGATCCAGTGAATTCTTCTATGATAATGAATCTATAGATCCCTTCAGATTTAACTCAATACCAGTACTCTATGCCTGTAAAGTCTAATCTTTCGATAAATCCTAAATCAACCGCCCAGTCACACCTCACTTGACCCAAAAAATATATTGGTAATCAATGCAGCACGCAAGATAGCTTCTAATGAATGCAATATAACAGTCCACAAAAACATCAAGGCAGCACTACATTCAGTAATTAAGTTTATATAATTCCAAGTAAATAGAAAATGATGAAGGTAGTGCAGTATGAATCTCATTCACCTTACATCGCTTGGAAGTGCTCATTACATTTCCTTATTTATTACGACTTGCTTATTTTTCAAGAATTAATTAATTCAAGCTTGTGGACGTTTCTGCGAATAAATTAATTACTTAGATTCATGCAATTTTTTAAATGCTTTACTTCTACTTTCAGTTATCTTCTCTTCAAGTTGTTCGACAATATGTTTACCTATCATGTCCGTAAGAAGTTCTTCCAAGCATTCAATGCCGAACTCAACGGATCATTCCGCATTTCTCGTCGTGGCTGTCAATTCACCTTCAGCGGATATAACGAAAAGATGGAATTGTTCATCGACATGTTTACAAATGAAATCAAAAATGTCGATGAAATTGTGAACGAGTCTACATTTAATAACTTCAAGACTGAACAAAAGGAAGAATTTTTCAGTGCTATGAGAGGCGTTAGACATGTTGCTTCTGAATACTTAGCAAAATTAATGATTGACTCATTCCACTTGGATTATGATATGTACACGGTTATTGATCAGATTACGTTTGAGGATGTGAGGAAGTTTGTTCCAAAAGTATTGAAAAAGTTGAAGTTTAAGATACTGGCTCAGGGAAACATCACTAAAGCTGAAACATTGAGCATCGTGAATATTTTGGATAAAAACTTTAGTTTTGAGACTTATAATGAGGTAAGTAGATAGGGGCTGTTCACTTATTACGTAACGCGAAAAAATGACTTCTTAGACCCCCCCCCCCCCCCCTCGTAACAAAATTTGTATGAAAAAAAAATTTCCTTGTTTGAACCGTAACAAAATCTTAGACTTCCCCTCCCCCTAAAAGCGTTACGTAATAAGTGAATGGCCCCATATACCATGAATGAATATTTAATTAAATCTATAATTATTTCCATAGAAACTAGAATTCAAAAGACGTGGCTATCAACTTCCACTTGGAACACATGCAATGAGAATAAAGTCACTTCAGCCAAATGATGACAATTCTTACACAAAGATTTACTATCAAATTGGGCTGAAAAATAAGAAAATTCACAACATGAATAAAATCCTCAAGAAGATCATTGATCCAAAAGTTTATGACATTCTTAGAAGTAAACAACAACTTGGATATGCAGTTGGATGTCAAATTGATAGTTTTGGTGGTGTCCAAGGTGTCAGCATAGTTGTCATGTCTCAGGAACATAAGCATAAGTTTACAGCAATCCATTCTAAAATTGATGATTTTATGGACACCGTTGTCATTCCAGCAATTAATGAAATGTCTGAGGAAGAATTTGAAAAGGTTAAAGATGCAAGAGTAAAGGAACTACAACAAGATTTGCTAGGACTTGATGATGAGACTTCATTGAATTGGGAAGAAATTGAGAATGAAAATTACATGTTCGACAAAGCTGAAGTCTTCATAGAAGTCACAAAGCAACTGACACTTGAAGAATTTAAAGAATTTTTCAATTCATTTGCAAGTCCCGAAAAACAAAGAAAACTGTGCATTCAAGTCATTGGAAGTGAAGGAAGTGATGAAAATGTAACAACTGTTGATGATGTGCTGAATGTTGAATTTATATCCGAGAAGTACACCGACCATAATTTGATTGTCGATATTGAGGCTTTCCAAAAGAATTTACACTTATATCCGGTATTAGAAAGACTTGAATGATTGAGTTATATTTTATGATATTTAATGGAAATAAAAAATTGATTAATTCTGTTTGAAAATCATTTGAATAGTTTTTAGTGGCTTTTAGTCATCATGTAAATGTAAACAAAAAAGAAAGTCATTTTAGTGAATAATTTTGACATTATTACAAGCTAAGATCAATATTTACGGTTACAAAATAATATAATAAATAAAATAATTCAAAACTTTTAATTTTTTAGCGCATTTTTGAAACTTGTTTCGAGAAAATAGCTTAATATGTCGCTTTGTTCGTTCGTTCGGGCGGAGAAAAACTTTTTATCTAGAAATCGTAGAGAGTTCTGGTTTGTTTTATTAGCTCAGGTTCATTGTTTTATTTTCGGGAAACGCATTTAAAAGTCTTGAAACAGTGTTTTTGTACTATAATTAATGATTTTTATATTTCATATGAAAAAACACGTGATGAGAGCGTTTAGAAATTCGAATTTATTTCTACAGTTACAAAATTTGAACTTCAGAAAACCGTTAAATGATAAACAATTTATATATGAAAATTAAAGATATTAAATTGTTAAATGTACTATAATTAATGATTTTTTGTGTATCTTTAGGCGGGAATCTTTCAAAAACTTACTGACCGTTAGAAAATTTGAATCTCAAAAAACCGTTAAATGATAAACTTTTTATATATGGAAATTCATTGGAACAAATTATTTAAGTATACTATAACTAATGTTTTAGTAGTGCAACTTTTAGCGGAAAATTTCAAATTATTTTTTGACCGTTAAATAATAAAGCCTTTCTATATAAGCATTCATTGTAATTATTTGCTAATTGCACTAAAATTAATGATCTTCTAATCTTCTAATGATCTGTAAATGGACGCAAAATAAATAGATAATCAAATACTGATCGCTAACACAAAAATGCGCTTAAGTCCCTCGATCAATAAAACGAGGACTTCTGTAATTTTTTATGCGAGTTTTTAATAGCTTTTGATAGTCTTGTTCGAGTCTTTTAGTATGTTTACTTCGAAGACTAGACAATTTTATAACCATATCAAAACTGAGAGTATTTTCGCTATGCAAATTTAATCCAAACATTTTCACTTTGTTTATAACAGTAAAAATCCTCATTGATATTCTCATCATTCTCATAAAAGTTAACAGATTCTCTTTTTTGGCAATTTTTTCTCAATTGGTAAATTTTAATATTGGATCAAAAATTAATTTTAATTATTATTTACAAGATCTAATTAAGGGACGTTCTTTTTTGAAAAATGACCGTTGAGGCCGTCGTAAGTGAACGTCCCAATAGAGTGTTAAGTGATTTCTTGCTTAAATGTTTTATTGTACTGGACCATATTATGTACTCATTAGGAACAGTTGCTGATATCGTTCGCTACCCCAAGCAAAAGTTTAAAGACTGACTCATGGTTGAACTTAATGCCAATTTGTTAAACCACGAAATGACCAAACAGGTTATTAATTAATACAAACGGTTATCATAATGTAATCTTTTAGCAGATTAATTAAAAACAGCAAGTTGTATCATATCCTCATCTCTTTTTTGCTTTCCCACTTAATATTTTATTTTGAGAGTTTAGTTATAAACATAAGGTTGTTGAAACCACACTGTGGCTTAAATTTACAAAAATGTTTAGGCAAAGAAAAGTAAAAATATTTACGATAGCTTTTATATTGTGTTTATTTCTGTATCATACTTTTGTAAGACCTAGTTTAAATTTGTTTAAAATAAGAATTGCTTTAGGACTGCTTCCGAACGATAAAATTGGTGTTGAAGCTGAAATATTAAAAAGTATAATTCCAAGAACGAATGGAGTTCCAACAAGAAGTGTAATTGTTAGTTCGTGGAGGAGTGGATCATCATTCTTAGCTAATATGGTTAATTCTGTGCCTGGCAACTATTATCACTGTGAACCTTTAACATCTTATGGTATTACTCAAATACGTGGATCACCAAACGACACACAAGCTATTTTGGGCATTAAAAAATTACTACAATGTGATTACACAGATATGGAAAGTTATATACAAGCCATTAATGAAAATGAATTCATGCAGTATTGCAACTGGCGCGTATATAAAAGTTGTGAATATTTTTCAAAAATTTGTTATCAACCACAATTTCTTGGACAGATTTGTAACCAATTTCCATTACAAAGCATGAAGCTTGTCAGATTGAGATTAAAGGTTGCCAAGCAATTGCTAGATGATGCAAGTCTTAATGTGCGGATTCTGTTGCTTGTAAGAGATCCTCGAGGAATATTGCAATCGCGAAAGCATGAAGTTTGGTGTCTTGGAGAACCTGAATGTAAATTTACTATTTTTTTTTGTTTATTTACAGGCGTAAATAAATTGTGACAACCTTAAAACTTCCATTTGCCATAACACTAATTAAAGATTAAGATTACCTGATACTTTATCAAGGATATACACCTACTCGTAGCATAGAAATTGGAGAGTAAGAGTAAGAGTATATCCTATGGTAGATGATAATGGCAAAGACTTTTTCGCAGGCGCGTAGCCAGGAGGGTCTTGTCCCTCCCTTAAATATTTTGAACCACAGCGAGAGCACGGCCTAAAACGCTTAAGAGGGGGACAATACCCTCCTGGCTACGCACCTGCCTAGTAGTTTTAAGGGATCATCAGATGAAAGAGCGTTAAAAAAATTAACTGAATTTTGAATAATTTATAAAACAGGTGACAACCCGAAAACATTATGTTCTGACATGGTGGCTGATTATCATGAAGCTGTTGAACTTGCAAAAAATTATCCAATTACATTCAAGTGAGTTTAAAACTTTTGCAATAAATAAAATAAATAAAATATTTGAATTATTTTGTGTATAAATCTAGAGTCATCAGATATGAAGACTTATCATTGTCACCTTTTGATCAATCAAAGGATATTCTTCAATTCTATGGACGTTCATTTGATGCAAATGTAGAGGATTTTATCAAGACTTTTACAAAAACCAGTGATTGGAGATCTAATAAATTTGCCCAAGATTCGAACTCGATTCCTTTCAAGTGGATTAAAAAACTGACGTTCGATGAGATTCAAAAGATACAAGAAAGCTGTTCAGAGGCAATGAAGTTATGGGGATATAGAAAACTATCCAAAGACAATGATGTAGACAACTTCAATCCAATTATTAACTTTCTTAAATTTTAAGATTTTTTGTATGGGGCCGTTCACTTATGACGTCGAGGGGGGGGGGGGGGGGTCAGCAAGAAAAGAGCAATAGAAATTCCTGGAAATCCATTGTTTTTTTATGAAAAATGACCGGTAAATTCGGACGTAATAAGTGAACGACCCCTATACTAAAGTAGCTTTTTACAGTCTCAGGAAATAAAAGGGATTTTTAGGATTTACTGATAAAAACTCCAAAAAAATGAAGAAATTTCTGTTGAATTAAGGGGATTTGTCACCCCTGACTCCGAGTCTGGCTTTTATTTTGAAAATTCGATTGTTTAAATCAATCTGTGCAAAATAAATTTCACAATTTTGTTATTTTATGTCTCACATTTTTTTATGTCTCAAACTTGATAGCGAATGTAATGTCTGAGCAGAGTGGAATCTATGGTGTCAAGTTTCAACCGACAATAGTCAAGAGATGCCTAAAACCTTAAACAATTAAAAGTTCCATACTGTATGAAAACTTTGTTCGTTTGATTTTGATTTTAGTGAATCGTAATGTATGAATGACATTTTGACAGTCCATTTCCTTATTCTCATGCATTTTCTAGCCCAAAAAATATTCATTTTATCCAAAAAGTCATCAATATGAATGCAGAGTATAAATCAATTCAGAGTTTATTCACTCTAGCATTTCTTATCAGAAACTTGATCGATCTGCTTATTTAGTCTTTGCTTGACAGGTTTTTCTTATTAGACCTAACACATCAAGTCGGTCAAAGAAGAAGAAAATGAATGTTAAAGAAGAATCGTTAAAAATTGCCGTTAGAGAAAAATTTTGAATAATTTTTGAATAAAAATCTTGTCCATTTCAGTTTAAATTTACTGTGGCAGTTATTTTTCCTTCTCATTTTTGAAGAACAAGAAGTAAATCTTAGAGAGGAAATAACTGAAATTTTTGTGAATTTAAGAGAAACCTTAAACTTTTGAAATTCATACCGGATGCAAGTGCTTCATATCAATCATGATACTCCTCAAGCCAGCAATCCATAATGACTGCAGCACATACCATTCGCACTAATAATAGGAATTTGCAACAATGTGATCGCTGAGTAGCATATAACATGTATCATAATATGTCAACTTTCGCATTCAATTTATGTTTCTATTAACCTTGCATTTTATTGTGTCTAGAAGCGTTTCTGTGTCTACATTTATTTATCTTTGTGTCTGATGATTCTGAATCTTTTTTTTTTATTAAGAAGTCAAACAAATTTTATTTTTCTTCATCGATTCTTTTCCTTTATTTCTTTTCAGTTGTTCTGTATAAATCATATTCATATTGTGGAATAACATTAAGCATGCATGCATACTGAAATAATAAAGAAAAACAAATACAATGACTAGATAATACACAGCCGATGTTTACTCAAAATAAACATTTAATTAAAATTTACTAACACATTACATTTTATCATGCTTATTAATTAATAATTGTGGACTGAATGTGATAATAACAATAACAGTTTAAATCAATCACAGTCTCACAGTCGTCTAAGTGATTTTTCAAGAGCAACCGCACAACTTGTTAGCACTCATATGGGGTCGTTCACTTATGACGTCCGAAATTAACGGTCAAAAAGAACAATGGAATTTTTATTGTTCTTTTCTTGCTGAACCACCCCCCCCCCCCCCCCCCCCCCTTGGACGTCATAATTGTCGATGAAATATATTCTTTATTACTGTGATTAATCTGAGAGGTTTTCTTGATGAAAATGAATGGACGGGTTGTGCTGAATGGTTGACTTTATTTTCAGGAGAATCTCGTAATGCATTTTTAATTGGCAGTCATGCATGAGATATTTATTGTTGCAGTAATTTTTATTTTGATTTTAAAGGTGGAATTTGTAGAATTTTTTATGACTTTGTGTTCTTAGTATTTGAAGCTATGGATATATAAAAATCGTGACAAAAAATTGAATATCAAGCTTGGCCTTGGAAAGTATGGAATGGTATTTTGGGTCATAAAGTTAAGGTCTTGGTTTCTGTATTTAAAGGTTTGGACTCGCTATTATTGGCTTTACATGGCTTTTCGAAGATTCTTGTCAATTTTTTAATAAAAACAGTTTCATCAAAAAGAAAGAGTTGCCAATGGCTCTAGATAAGGATCCAATCCATCTAGAAAGGGTTCACATGCTTGATGGCTTATACTGTTCAATATTGTCCAGTATTGACTTCATTATCCTTGGATCCTCCAGGATCAAGTGAGCAGAACTGACCCTTACACGAATCATGCGAGATTCTGACTTATTACGAGATTTGAAATTGCTACATAGTTTAACACCCTTTAGCGGTGAAATAGCATCAGTGGTCTATATGGTAAAGCGTTGGCCTTCCGTGCCAAAGGTTCTGGGTTCAATCCCAGGGCATGTCTTATTTTCGAAGCTCTTTTTCCATTCCAGCGTTCTAGTTACGAAGCTCGGTTTGTGTGTTGGATGTAGTAATGATGTTTTTGGCATAGAATATGCCTCCTTTGCTAAGTATTCAAGGTAACACTAGCATCAGGATGACTTCCTTACGGCATCTTGCGCACACAAATTGTGACTAGGCACAAATTGTGAATTGGCAGAGCTTGCAAGTTGTTCAGATCCTACTATAAACTGTAGCTAAAGGGTATGGTTCAAATTGAATCGCAGTGCCTCCTCTTGAGGAAACAAAAACCTAACCAGTGAATGAATTGAAGAATTCATTTGAAGGGGGAGGATGGAGATAAACTCAATACGGTTCCACATAATTTAATTTCTTATGAATTAAGCCTTAATTGTGTGTGCTTTGATCAAAAGCTACACTAGCAATCTGTATTTAAACTTTAATAATAGAAAACCATCTCCAAAAAATCCAACCTATAAAAATTCCAAGGTCATACAAAATTCCAATCACAGCAAAATATCTAAAATCTAATAAGAATCATGCAAATGGACTTAACCTTAATGTACAAAGCAACACTCACAGCCACAGAAGAAGAGAAACAAAAATACAAACAAACGAAAAAAGAGAAAAAAATCTACTACAATCCGGCATATCTCTCCGGTTGTGCTGTCAGTATACTGCAGTCAGTTCACTGATTATTAATCGTTCGAGCTAGACGTGGAAATATTTTTCCATAATTCTCGTGCATTTATTTAATAATTTTAAACAATTAATAATTCTGTAATTATGCGTAACGCGTAGTTAAGTGTTAAGATTCGATAATACGATATAGTACGAAAAAATTAAACGTCAAAAAATACGAAACTAGTAAAGAGGTGATCACACGTGATCGACCGAAGCGCATTTTCTCCGCACAGAATTCGAGTAGAAATTAAAATCTAAAAACTCAATACATTTGAAAAAGAACGGTCAAAAAATATTTGAAAAAAAAACTGTTAAAATTATATGAAAGAAGGAAAACGCCCAAAAAATAATTAATATTTTATTAAAATAGCGTTGGTTCGATATTCAGGATCAGGCACTGTGTCTACTTGCCAAATTTCAGCTCATAAGTTAAAAAAAAAGTTCAAAGTCAACGCAAAATTTTTTTTACATAGGTTACCAACCCTGGAATCTTAAAATGGCGTTGGTTCCATATTCAGGATCAGGCACTGTGTCTACTTGCCAAATTTCAGCTCATAAGTTAAAAAAAAAGTTCAAAGTCAACGCAAAATTTTTTTTACATAGGTTACCAACCCTGGAATCTTAAAATAGCGTTGGTTCCATATTCAGGAACAGGCACTGTGTCTACTTGCCAAATTTCAGCTCATAAGATCAAAAAAAGTTCAAAGTCAACGCAAAATTTTTTTTACATAGGTTACCAACCCTGGAATCTTAAAATGGCGTTGGTTCCATATTCAGGATCAGGCACTGTGTCTCCTTGCCAAATTTCAGCTCATAAAATCAAAAAAAGGTCAAAGTCAACGAAAAATTTTTTTACATAGATTACCAACCCTGGAATCATAAAATGGCGTCGGTTCCATTTGCAAGAACAGCCACTGAACCTACATGCCAAATTTCAGATTAATAGGGTAAAAGATACAAAAGTAATGGCAAAAAAAGTAATTTTGTATGAAAAATGTATGGAAAAAAGAATAAATCTTCGAGAAAAGCTCGGAAAATGTCGGGAAAATTTTGAAAATGGAAAATTTGATCACCAAACACCATGACAAACAATAATAAATCAAAAAAGTGAAAAAAAGAATGAAAAAAAAAGTTGCTCGTTGTGAGGCTTGAACCAGCGACCTGAGGATTGTAAAAAAAGTCACCTTTTTAATGACTTCGCCCAAAATAATCACGTGACTTTATAGGTGAAAAATTTTAAAAATTAATTTAATTAACCTTCCTGTGCTTCAATCATGCTGAAATTTTGGCCACTGCTAGCCAGGAATAGCACAAATATTATAAGAAAAAAATCGCATCAAAAAATATTAAACTGAAGGAGGAGATAGCTGGACGGACGGACGGACGGACGGACGGACGGACGGACAAAGTGAGGACAATAGCGTCATTTCCTGATAGGAAAATGCGCTAAAAAGAGCATTTTAAGCAGGCCAGCAACTTGTTGATTCATACATATATGTATATGGAATAACAAATGTCTATTACCTGTAATTTCTTCTACTCTATACGGCAGTGAATTATTTTATACAACAAATTTTATGAAAGAAAAACTCAAAAAAATTGATAAAAAAAGTTTGATAACAAATGTGTGTGTTTGTGCTGTTTGTGTGTGCTTAATGCTTAAACTAACATAACATATTATAAATAGGGTGGTCTTTAGAATAGATCGATAATTATGGATTTGCCGCAATCATTCGGTAAGTACAACATAACAAACTATTTGTGCTTTATCCATCAAACCAAGATAGTGAAGCACATAAGACACCACACATTCGTAAAGAGTTAAAAAAAAATATTAAGGAACAAAGAAGAAGACAAATTTATAACTGTGAGCTTAAAAAAAATAAAGCGAAAATGAATTTTTTTGTTTTCTTTTTTGCTTACACTTTTTTTGTATTTTATTTTTCTGTGTGATGTGTAAGAAGAAAAACTGGAGAGTGACACTCTCAATGAAAAGCAGCGTAGTGAAAACAATTTCAGGTTTTCAATCCTACGCAACCACAATAACCCGAAAAAAAAATAAAATAAAAATATAATGTACAATAAAAGAGACTCGAGCGCGCGACCCGGCTCTCTTAGAAATTTTATAATAATTTATTGTTTCACAATTTCGGATATATACATGCATATATTGAAGAATAAGAGGCGAACCATCATCATTGCCGTTTAATTTTATGACATTCAATGAGTCGCGATGAAGAAGAAAAAAATGAGTTTAAGTTAAATGCTGATCGTCATTTTCTCGGCTTAGATTCTCATTTTTCTTAAACGATCGACTCGCACACGAGCATATAATATGATTTACTGTTGGGATTCAGTTTGACTTGTTGTCATCATAAAATACTCCTACCTCGTGCCTTACTATGATCACTATTTTAACACTATGAAATGTGTGTGATCATTGGAAAATTTGGGATATTCGGTGTTATACAAAATATTTTACACTTTAGAATTGTCACACCCGTCAATTTTGGCGGGAAAACATAATTAGTCAATGAAAGTGTGTGAACAGATGATAATTATAGGGTAATGTGCTTCTATTTTTACTACCAGCATTCATTTGTGTCTACCTTCATGCTGATTTGTGTCATGCATGACTAAAACTTCAATTTCTAGGAATACTTTTTTAGTTTCTCAAAATCTGCATCATCTTCAATAATTGCATCATTAACTCGATTTGCGTTGATGCAAGCCATAAACGAAACATTTCATTACCACACGTTGCACGCGATTACGGCGAATTTTCAATTTGAAAACTATGTTAAAAGCAGCACGTAACCTTAAGTCCATAAATTAAATGAAAGTTTTGCCCGAAAAAACGTGCACATGATAATGAGCTGGGGGGTTGTTCATAAATGACATATGGCTACTTATTGATGAAAATTGTTGGAAGCTGAATGTGAGATAAAACTCTGAGCGGGCCCCTCTTAGTATGAAAAGAGCTAGAACCCTTCCATAAATTTATGGCTCCTATCCTGATTGCCCTTAACTATCCCTGACTATGTGACTCTCTATAAATGGGCAAGATCAGAAAAAAAGGGAAAACATCTTCAAATGCTGATTTCTCTGCTTCCAAGCATCCAATTTGTATGATTTTTTCACAGGTCGATAGCAAATTTCAGAAAGTTTAACTTTTAATTTCATTTTTTAAAATGGCGGTTCAATAAGTTAGCTTAATTAACAAATCCACTTTTGAAATTGATTTTTCTTCAAGAAAAAAGCAAGCTAAATGTTCAAGTCCTTGACAAAAGTTGTAGATTATGATATTTTCTATCATAACATCAGACTAAAGCTTAATAAAAATCAATAGATTTAGTTATTTTAACAAAAAATCAACTTGTTGAAAAAATTCCTTTTCCAGCAAAAATACTAGCTCTAGTTGACCGAAAACAATTTTTAAGTAATTAAAAAGTCATTGTGTATTGTAATTGAATGTTGAAAATGCTTAAAATCGAGTTAAATTAACTTAAAAACATTGTAATTTCAATTGAGCAACATGTTTTGCTCTGTGTTGCTCATGATTTCACACAAAATTTGAATTTTTCAAAGCCGTTACAAATATTTTGGTTTAATTATTTAAACTTTTATGATTTTCTTGACTTTCCATTAAGATTTTTAAGTTTTTCTTTTGCAAAAAGATGCATCTAATGAATTGTTATAGTTTCAAATTGAGAGATCATTAAAATAATAAAACAGTAATGGTTTAATAGAAGTTTTCTTAAACTCACTGTAACTTTGTTAATTAAAGTAGAACTTAAAATTTTCTTTTAAAAGCTTAAAGATAGTCATATTTGCTAGCTTTTTTGTAATAAAAGCTAGTTATTAAGATGTTTCCTTCATATAGAAATTTCAACCCAAACATTTAAAACGTTAATTAAGCTAACTTAAAATACCGCCATTTTAATAATTTCATGCAAGTAATTCACTATTCTGATCATTTAATTACTCAGTGAAATATTTTTTAAGATTGGTGAATCAGTTGCAGAGATATTGCATTAGCAACATGGTGTAAAATCGAATTTCCTCAAAATTGTTCGTGACGCTTAGCACTTTAAATTAATTTTTAATTATAATACAATGTCTAAGAGATACTTGTTATACACCAAAATATAGGTATTGGCAAGGACTTTAAGAAAAACACAAGTCTTAAATACATATTTCGCATTATTGATTCAAAAATTGTAAATTATTGCTTAGCGTCACGAACAATTCATTTTTGATCTTGCCCAAATATATCTGGCATGAAATTAAATGATAGTAAGGAAGTTAAGGTTCGTCATTAATTTGACGTCATTTATAAACAATCCCTAATTAGCCAAAAAATACATATTAAGTTGATCACCAACAATAAAAGTGACTGTTGAAACCTTTAAATACACTGATAAATGAACTCGATCAATCACACAAAAAAAAATAAGTAAGCGCTCTTCCATTCCACATTTCGCGATATTCTCACAAACTTAAATTCTTGTTACTTTTTTTTCTCCTCTTTCTGTTCCTTTCCATTATGCAATATACGAAAAAATATTTATGAATGTATTAACAGCAGATATTAACAACAACAACAATATATATCATGATAATGTGAGAAATTGAAGAACGATTGAGTCATAAGTTTATTTATTTCTGTCATGAATGTGTCCCTCAATGTGCTTGTGTCGTACATGTGTTCGGAACAGTTTAATTGCTTCTATTTAATTTTTATCGAACCAAATAACAATAATTTAGATGCGATAGAGATGTTAGCATATTTTTAGAACTCCAGAAGTGCACGAGTGTGAGTGAATTGGCGCTTGTTATAAAGATAACAAGTGAAATGTCATTGAAGGTAGTTGACAGTGCGCATTCTTTTGAGATAATGGAATAGAATGAGATATAAAAATAAAATTTCTTTATGAGAGACGAGATTTGAGTTTTTTTGGCACCATGAGTTTCAGGGTTGCATTGCCAGTCAGCATTCCTTTATAATCGAAATAAATGAATTTTTTGATAGACTTGACTTTATTACAAACAATTATCCAGCAAGTGTAGCCATAATACAACAGGAATAGAATTACATTCAACAATAAGTAACAGTTTTACTTGACCAAAAGGCGCGGGTAGATTGCCAAGCATAAACTACCAAATTTCCATCACCTTGCATAATAATCCAAGACCCTTCCTTTTTAGAGGTCTTTGATGCCCATGTTGCTTTATCATGACAATCGTAAGTCACAAAGTTTCCATCTCCTTGCATGCATGCTCGATTCGTACAGGTTCTTGATGTTTTTGAGCTCCAGATAGCTTTATTGTTAGATTGTCGATAAATAACGAGATTTCCATCACCTTGCATTATCAATCTAAAGCATCCATTAGCTGATACTAAAGTTTCTCCTACAGCAAGGCACTCATTTGGACCAAGAGAATCCTTTGACCAAATTGTTGCAATTAGAAATTGAAGAATTAAAATTTTTTTGAACATTTTGATGAATTCGATCGATGGAACTGAAGTCGTATCACTTAAAGTTTCAGTTTATACTTGCCTTAACTCAAAGTTGGACTGTTCTTTAAATATAGTACTTGGTTGAGTTAAAATTTACATTTCAATCTCATTTCCTGATTATTTATCATGCAAAATAGGTTATGGTATATTCAGATATTTCAGATTTAAATGACTTGCTGTATGTTTTCCTTTTCTTGATTGATTATTGTACACTTGATTGTTATAAAGGCTCAAAGCAAAATACTACGTGGCGATAAAACTACCAGAATAAGTTATCTAGCCATAACTCGATGAAAAAGAGGATCTTATATCAAATCTATCTAATTGAAGCTTCGCCAGTTGTTATTTTGATTATAAATTAAATCTCTGGATATGTCAAGTCAGAAAATGAAATAAAGACGACCCCTAGCTACACTTCTGTCCAATTCAATTGAAACTCAAACCAATTTGTTGACAAAACATTCAAGCAACAATTTTTCTACCCTTTTTCAATTCCCGTTTGGAAATTTCATGTTCAATCATTATATTTACAACTCCAATTAAACTCATTTCTATTAATAGTTAATTATTTAACAGCCTGAAGGGGTTTAGGAGCATGATTAGCAAAAAACATAAGAAGAAAATATTTTCAAGAGAAGTAAAAATGTTTTCAATGAAAGCAAGTGTTATGAAGTACAATATGTTGTTGCAATATTAAAAATTTTAACAAGTCGATTTAAGTCAGTACGCGCCGACAAGTTGAATGAACTCAACTGTTCATTTCTTTTTTGTTCACGATCTCGACCATTTTTGTGTATAATTGCGAATTGAAGTGAGTGAGAAAGAAGACATGTGTGATGGACAATGATGTTGATGATTTAAAATGTTAATTATATGAGGAACTGTGGAATGTACTTTATGTTCAACAAGTGATTCTTATAAGAATCAAATGGGAGGAAGAAATGTTCTGATTCTGTAATTGATGTGGAGAATTTAAGAAGAATTTGATGGAAGAATAATGAAAATTTCTTTTTTAAGAAATTTAATCATGAACTGGAATTAAGTTGTGCTGTGTATTCTTTAATTATTATGTCCTGATTGATTTGTTGCTTTTCATTTTTGATGCAGTTACGAGTAATTTTTTGAATAAAGAAATTTTGAGAATCTTTTCGAGTAAAATATAAACAATTTGTAGTTTTTTGATGCTTTGTACTTAGCATACAATTTTTGACAATAAACACCAAAAGATGAATGAGAATGAGTTCCAAAGTGAAAAGTTTGCATTGAAAAAATGTTCAAAAAATTAGGTTCATGTGATTTCTATTCAGATGTCCAGAATAGCCAGAGTTGGATTAAATGGTCATCAATGCTTAATTATGATCTCCATGACTTCATTAATCATGAGAGTTTAACATAAATATTTAAAAATCTTGTCAAATGGGTCTAAGAACTGGAATCCTCGGTTTCCATCAGGTTTCTTAACCTTTGGTTCCAAACAATTTTAAAATCGAGGGATTCTTGTCGATGTGTGGAAATCAGGATGTCTTATCTTGGATGGTAATATAACTTACCCGAATGGCACAAGTCGGTTAATTGATCAGAAATCTGGAACAAAGCCGTACTGACTCTGGCATAGTGAATCGAAACTAGCACCATGCTAGAGTCATGCCAGCTGAGCACCGGATTTCTATTCAACTAATCAAGTTGTGCCATTCGGGTTATCATCTACATAAGAATTAACAAACCATTGACAGCACCATTTGCCTAAGTTTTTAGAGGTCAGTCCTTGTTATTTCTTTGTTCAAATACTTAATTTTTAATAGGATTTGAACCCATTTTCCACAATAAACAAGGTTGCATATCTTTTATCTGTTAATAAATCCTCTTAGTCCAGATGTTTTAATCTTGCTCTGACAGATTCATCTTCACATAACTCTTTACTCCAGATTCCAATTTCCTCCATCCTAAAATCATCCAACCATCTACTTATCTCTAAAGCAACCTTCCAACTCTGAATAGAAATTACCAACAAAATGAATATGATAATAAATTAACGCTAAAGATCCAAAGAAGAACTTCTATTACTAAGTTAATGAGGAACATTATTCAAAGAAATTCAAAATAGTTGAGAACTTGAACTGAAAAGAAAAGAGGAGGAGAACTTTAATTCACCTTTTCACTTGCAAAAATTATAACAAAGAATGGACAGAAAATTTTCAATTGCTGGAGATTTCGAGGAAGTACTGAAGTGCGAAATGAAAACAATGGCTGGCAAGTAAAAATACACATTTATACGTGAGAACTAGACGCTTATATAGTATGCGAAATTCGTCCAGTAACAGGTTTTGTCCTTTTTGAGTCATATGTAAGTTATTGAGCTATTTAGTGTCATTTGAAAATTTAATAAACTTGTCTTCTGTGTCAAAGCTTTTGTCTGGCTAAGTAAAACGTCCAGAGAAATAACACTTTTAAGCTAAGCGATAAGATAAAGCCAGGAAGCCTCATCTTTGAGAGAAAAAAACTCAGTTTCTGCAACAATTTAATCAACATAGCCACAAGGGACGTACTGAAACGCTACTTTGAAGACTAACATGAAAAAGTACTTAACCGGCAGTAATTCAAGCATTAGAAAATATCTTTCATTCCATAACGGAACCACTGGTCAACTTCATTGTAGTAAAATCAAATTGAAAGAATTCAAAACTTCAATTGTAAAGCAATCAAGTCATAAAAGTTACAAAAGGTGGATCCTTTAATTTGCAAAAATTAGAAATCTCATCACTCAAATTTTGAGTTTTACGAACATCCAAAAACATTTGTTATGCTGAAAGAAATGTGTTAAAACTGGCTAACAAGAAGTTCAAAAGATTTCATTCATTCATCAGACACAAGCAACGCACACAACTAAAAGAGAATTTATTCATAAAAGAGAGATAGTTTTTAAAATCTAGTAAGACACAAGACTGAAAAATCTCTTCAATTTACTTCCAATATTGATTACCAATTAGACCTTCACAATCTATACATTTATTTATGATTTCATGACGATCGTGAAAGTCATTAAATATCAATGAGAGAAAAATAAAAGAAATAAGATGAAAAATTATGAGAATGAAAAGTTCTCACATCTGAGTGACTAGAGAAACCATAAAGTAATCGATAGCTGTCATAAATTACAGTAAAGTGTCCTCAACTGTATTGAGGCTGTTCATAAGTGATGTCTGAATATTTGGATTAAGAAGAGTCTATTGGAGAAGCGGCTGTCAAATGAATCTTAGGAATGTCGTAATTTTCATACCTTTAGCCGCTTTAAGTGTCTCTGGAATCTTGATAAATTGTTTTATTATCTGTTGGGAAGGTTTCTTGGGCTACCAAGGGTATCCTACTCTAGAATCGATAACAATGAGATTTAAATCAAATGACTTCAACAAGAATATGCTACCTCAGTTAGAATTCCAATCTACATCTTAAAATCTTTTCATGGACATCACTATCGATGATCCCCATTGAACCCCGAAACCACTTTATTTCATATTGATCGTTCAAATTTCATTCAGCATTCTTTTATCACAATGAATTGAATTACAATCAAATGTCCACCCACACGTGTGCGTTTAAGTGACGAATATTTTATAATTGAAAGGCAAACATAAGAGAACTGAGAAGAAGTAGAAATGAAATCAAAATGTGAATGAATGAAATAAATCAAAACAAAAGAAAAAAAAAACTCGTTTCACAACGTGTCGTGGCTATAAAAAAACAAAACCATGAATACGCATTGAGTTTTTTGTCATTTCCTCGTATTTAGCGAGAGAGTCTTTTGAATAATTTTAAGGAGATGTGGTTTACTTAACGTAGTTAGGTGAAATTTATGAAAACTTGTAGTTTTGTGTTCACATTCCTTCGGGGTGTCAATATTTGTAAGGAAAATATTGATGTTCACTGAATACAGTAATTTATATGCTTTATCTGTGCAATTATTACCGTTAATTGCTATGTTTGTGTCTGGTTGTAATAAATCGATAGCAATCTAGTACATAAAATTACATACACAGGGAATTTTTACAGCTTTTGCGATAAAGCCGCTGCTTTATTATGTCAATTTAAAATTAATGTTTAAAGGTTTGTGTGTTGTCATAAGTTAAGGATAGATTGGGATATAACATGAATTAAGAGTGAGAGGGTTCAAGGGTGTCAGGGCAGTGATCTCAAGATCTCGAGGAAATCTAGTCTAATCTGGTTTAACCTGAATTTTTGATCGTAGTGTCTAGGTGTATATGACTAGTCTTTTACTTTAAATAAATCCAAACCTATCCAAAATCTTTACAAAATCTAAAATTTGACAAATGATGTTGACCAGACCTAGTTACTCGATTTTAGGGCATAAGAGTTGACAATATATTGTAAGATTTATTTTAGACTCAAACATCCGAATGATATTGCTAAACATATTCATTCCAGCATAAATCACAAGCATCAGAGTCCCAAACCCATCACCTCATGCCTCCATAGTTCAAATACGCTTTCAACACCTTCATCTATTAATTTCATACTCGATCTGCTTTCAATTACATAAATTGTCAACTCAACCTGACATGTCATTGGAGCGAGACGCTGAGCAGACTAAAAATACAACTTGCAGAAAGGCTTGACATCAAGTTTCATATTTTTTTTATTTTTCTTCTCTACATTTCTCAATGAGAGGCACTTTATAATTTTGGATTGGATATTCACGAGAGTTATATTAAAATTAGCAGAAAGTCACATTCACCTGACTAATGATGAATAATGCTCACGTTTACCTGACTTGTGTGTAAATAAATTTTTTTACATCTCCTCCTTAACTTCTTCTTCTCTTTATTATTATCATCACTTATTTCATTTCTCTATTTTTTTTGCCTCTTTATCTTCTTTTTCTCATATTCTTTCACCGCTTAAGTGAAAAT